TTTTTAGGGTAAGCCAAACGAAGTCTAAGGGCTTGTTTGGTTTGCGTTTCAAAAAATAATATCCGAAAACAGTTTTTGAGAAAAATTTTAAGAAAGTGATTTTGATATTTTTTGAGATAAAAAACTTGTTTGCTTAGATGATTTCAAAAATAATTTTACAATACAGAAAATAGTAAAACTTGTTTGGACAGCCTAAATATATATTTGAATAGTAATTCAAACGTAATAAAAAGATATAAAAAATTTATTTTTATATTGACAATTTCATAAAAAAAAATTCAATAAACCAAAATTTCAAAAATATATATATACCCATAGTATATATATATATATATTGTGTGTGAGGGGTATATATATATATATATATTTATACGTATTTATATATATAAATATAAAATATATATATATGTATATACGTATATATATATATACTCATATCTGAACATCAAAAATGGTTCACCTTATTTCCAAAATTTTCAAAGAAAACTCTAAAAACAAGCTACACTTGTTTTCTGTTTTTTTTTGACTCAAATCTCATTTTTTTTCAAAATTTAGAGAACAAAAATGTTAAACAAACAGGTTTTTGGTGTTTTTGAAATTTTTAGAACAAAAAATTGTTTTCGGATCACAAACCAAACATGACCTAAATATCTTTTTGTACTTCGTCTTGCATGTCTCAAAAATCTCACCGTCTAGCCTAGTTGTAGCGAAATTCCCTCCACTAATGGCAATCATATGGATGCTTACACCAATACTACTCTTCCAAGATGCTTTGGATAGTTATGGGTTAGTTGACTTATGATACGAGGGGTATAAATTTACATGGTGTAATAACTGGGAGACCCCTCGTAAGGTTTGGGAGTGGTTGTATTGGGCATGTGCAAATATGTTGTGGAATGATATGTTCGCGAATGTTGGGGTGCGCCATAAGTTTAGTAGGATGTCGGATCACTAAAATGTCATTCTTGATACTGAAGCAAAAAGTCTAACAAGGATGTATGCTGGCCGAAGGTGGATATTTAGGTTTGAAGCTTCTTGGCTTAAGAGGAGTGACTGTGAAGTTGTTATAAAGAATGTGTGGAATTCTGAGGGATTGGGTTCACAAGGCCTAATAATGAATATTCAAAATTGTAGGGTGGGTTTTCTTAGGTGGAAAAAGGAACAAGTCGGGCATATTCCTACTCAAGTGGAGTCTATAAAAGAACAATTGGCACATATCCAAGAAGGACCAATCTCTGAAGCTATTAAACAACAACAATCCTCTTTGGTCTGAGCTTAGTAATTTAATGGATTTGGAAGAAACACATTCGAGGCAAAGATCGCGGTGAACTGGCTTAAAAAGGGCGATAGAAATACATCTTTTTTTCATGCTTGGACATCACAAAGAAGGTGGAAAAATTGGATAGGGGGTATTAAAAACCAACAAAATTTATGGTGTGATTCACAAGAAGAGATTGGTTGCATACTTTAAACACTTGTTTATATCGGCCAGACCGCACGAGCAAAATTTGGAGATTGTTCTAAGCAAGGTGGCAAGTAAAGTGTTTGATGAAATGAACTCGAGACTCATGCAGTGCTATTGATCTAATGAGGTATTATTAGCGTTCTCTCAAATGTATCCTACTAAATCGTCTGGCCCAGATGGTATGCTTGCTCTTTTCTTTCAAAAATACTGGCATATGGTGGGGTGGATGTCCTAAATTGTGTACTATCTTTTTTGAATTGGGGGGGGGTGTTGTTTCCTACTAAATTGAATTATACCCTCATTGTTTTGATTCCTAAAGAACAAAGTCCTGAGTTGATGTCTCAATTTCATCCTATAAGTTTATTTAATGTCCTATACAACATTATTTCAAGTCCTAGCAAATAGGTTAAAAATTGTACTCCCTATTATAATTTATGAAAACCAAAGCGCTTTTGTTCCGGGGCATTTGAACTAAATCATTTTCTTAAGTGTAAATCTTGGGAAAAGAGGGCCCCATTTCCTTGAAGTTAGCTATGAGTAAAGCATATGATAGAGTCGAGTGGATTTTTTTGGAGAAAATGATGGGAGCTTTGGGGTTTAGCAATGGGTGGGTTCAATTGGTTATGGAGTGTGTTAAATCGGTTTCATACTCAGTGCTTGTGAATAATGACCAAATGAGTTATTTTCATCCTCAAAGGGTTATCCGTCAAGGAGACCCCTTATTTTTTTCTTATATGTGTAGAAGAAATGTTTGCTTTACTTAAAGATGCGGAAACTCATGGATTAATATCAGGAATCACCGTTAGAAGAGGTTGCCCCAAAATCTCTCATTTATTTTTTGCAAAAAACAACTTGTTATTTTTTAAGGCTACTTGTTCAGAGGCAAATATTGTGAAAGAATTACTGCAACTCTATGAAGCAACTTCAGGGCAACAAATTAGTATGGGAAAATCAACTTTGGTATATAGTAAGAATGTTCTAGAGATTAGAGTTAAAGAAATACATGCTATTCTTGGTGTTCCTCGGGTTCAACAACATGAGAAGTGCCTTGGGTTGCTATCTGTAGTAGGTAAATCAAAGAGAGAAGTTTTTGTTGGTATCAGGGAAAGAGTTTGGAAGAAGTTACAAGGGTGGAAGGAACAATTATTATCAAAGGAGGGGGTAAAGAAGTGTTAATAAAAGAAGTCGCTAATTGCTACCTACATATGCTATGGATTGCTTCAAGCTTCCAGAATATTTTTGCAGTGAGTTGGAGTCTTTGACTTCTAATTTTTGGTAGGGCCAAAAGGATGGGGCGAGGAAGATTCATTGGGTTAAATGGGTTGACATGTGAAATAGGAGGAAGATTGGTGGGATGGGTTTTAGAGACTTGATGACTTTTAATATGGCAATGCTAGCAAAACAACATGGAGAATTCACCATGAAACGCATATTCTTCTTCACAAGGTTCTAAAGGCGAGGTATTTTCGTCGACTACATTTATAGATGCCAAGATTGCATACAAATCTTCATATAAATGGAGGAGTATTTTAGAATCAAGGACAATCATTGAAGTTGGGTTGTGGTGAAGGATTGATGATGGATATAAAATTCATGTATGGAAAGATAGATGGATTCCTACTCCATCTATTTTTTGAGTGGTCAGCCCAAAGAATATTTTGGAGGAAGATGCTATGGTTAGTGAGCTCATTAATTCAATTACACATTTTTGGAAAACTCCTTTGATTGATGCGGTCTTCTTGGAGCATGAAGCAGAGGTTATTAAAAGGATCCCTTTGGGTGTGTTGCCTATGGAAGATAAGTTGATTTGACATTATAATGATAATGACAGATTTTCAGTCCGAAGTGCGTACCATTTAGCATATGAGAAGAATTTATTCCATTCGGGTTGTACAAGTGTTGGTTAGTCATCAAATTCAGGGGGTGATTGGGGTGTTTTGTGGAAACAAAATGTTACTAGTAAAGTTAAAATTTTTGTGTGGAGGATGATCTTAAATGCTCTGCTTACTAACGACAATTTGTGGTGTCAAAAGATTAGACCAGATGGGGTATGCTGTGTATGTGGGGAGATTGTTGAAACTATGATACATATCATTAAATAATGCTTATGGGCGAGACGGGTGTGGAATGTGAGTCCTTTTTATCATATAATCTATCGAGTTGCTTGGAACATTGTCGATTAGTTCTGAAAAATTATTTTACAGCTTAAGCCGAAACATGGTGCAATTTTCTTGGTGTTCTGTTGGTATATTTGGCGTAACAGGAATGAGGTTCTCTTCCAGCAGAGGCGAAATGACCCATCGGTGTTTCTGTCATATGGCAATGCAATTTATTTAGCAGTATGAGCAAGCTTTAGATTGTAGTCAGGAAGGTGCACCAAAACATTGGGTTCCTCCAAGATTTGGATCCTTTAAGGTTAACTTCGATGGGGCGATGTTTGGCATAGAAGGTGCTATTGGGGTAGGGATGGTTATTCGTGATGAAGCTTGAGCGTTTATCACTAGGATATCTAAAAAGTTAATTGGTTTGGGAGAAACACAAACTGCAGAGACTATGACTACAAGGGAAGCTGTGCTTTTTGCTACGCAAATTGGGTGTGATGAAATTGTGTTGGAAGGATATTCTTCTGCAATTATGAATTGGATTGATGACGCTATTATTACAGATATGCAACAGTTTATTTGTCTGTTTATTTTATTATTTTTTGTTTGCTGTTGGACGTTCAAGAAATTGTGTAGCTCACCAACCGACTCAAAATGCCAAATTAGGTGGAAATATTGATGTTTGGGAAGAGATAACACTATATTTTCTAATACCATATCTTCTCTGAAACTTATTCTCTTAATAAAATTTCTATCGTTTCGATTCAAAAAAAAGAAGCAAAAAGCATCTCCTATTTTTCTTTTTAAGTCAACCCCAAACCCAAAAAACAAAACACGTCAGTTTCTCAATCACCCAATACCCCCAAAGGAAAAAATTATTAACACCACATGGAAATCTCAAGTGGTTTGCACACAATAAAAAACTATGACAACAACATTTTGTGAGATGCACAAGTTAGTTTTTTTTTTAAATTCTGGCAAAATGGTAGGTGTTGAACATTTATAAAGAATGTAGTGATGTACACATTGGCACTGATAATTTTCTTCCCTCCTTTCTCTCTCTCTAAACCAAACAAATGGTCTACACCAAACAAACAGGCCGTGTCCCTAACTTTCTCTGCGTAAACCAGACAAATAGCCCAAAAGCCAAACAACTAGTCCAAAAGCCAAACAAATAGTCTCTCTCCCTCTCTCTCTCTCTTTATATATATATATATATATATATATATTCAATAGTCCACACATACAGTTTACGCTCTCCTCTCTCTAAAAAAAAACCTGTGTGTGTTAACACCGATGTCATAAGATCAAAAAACCATTCTCTTTTATTCTTGTATGCTCCCAAACTAAAAGTCATCAATTGTTAAGTTTGGCTGCCCAAAAACAGTCTATTCCCCAATCCAACAATAAGGCGCAGACTCTCTCTCTCTCTCATGGAAAAACACAGCAACACCATCATGGCCCCTTCATCTCCGACACCAACAACGTTTGTTCAAGCAGACACTACCACCTTCAGAGATGTAGTCCAAAAGCTAACCGGCGCATCCGGTGGCTCCCAAGACAAACTCCCGGTAACTCATCCTGCAAGGCTCTCTACCAAACCCCTTGAACCCACAGGCATTCGCCGGTCAACCTTCAAGCTCCAAGAACGTCGGCAGCACACCATGAGAAAACTTGAAATCAAACTCGGTCTCTTTTCACCGGTACAGAGCCCTGTGACCCCACTCGGGACCCAGTCCTCGCCGGAGGAGGAGGAGGAGGAGGAGGAGGAGAGGGCTATTGCGGCAAAAGGGTTTTACATGCATCCGTCGCCACGGAAAGCACAGCCGCCGGAGCTATTGACTTTGTTTCCGTTGACTTCGCCCAGACACTAGTCTGAAACCTGGAGAAAATATTGAGTGTAGCTGTTCTCCATGTGAACAAAGCGAGGACGTGAGCCCATATAATTCAATAATAACTCATTCATGTAATATATAATCTCTTCTATATATAAAAGTGAGTTGTATTTTATCTATTTTAGAACTTTCTTGATTGTGCTGTAACTGTTACACTAAATATTTAATTATATAAAATATTAGAAAAAAATATTTGATGGTTATAGGTACCACGCGACAATAATTTGTGGTGTGCATTATTTGTAAATAATTTACATTCCCAATTTATTGCTATCATTTATGAAATTGTCAATTTTTTTTTTTGAAAAAATTTACTTTTGTGTCTACAAGCAAATGTTATGAAAATTTTTTAAGATAAATATCGTAATTGGTTCTTAAACTTTGTCTCCAGTTTAAATTTGGTTCTTGAATTTTCAATTGTCATAATTTAGTCCAGCAACTATTAATTCATTTTAATTGAGTTTTTCTATCTATTCTCACCATTGGATCAATTGGAAATTATCTCAATCTAATTCATTTCAAGCATTAAATTATATATTTCCGTTTTGATTTAATAGTGAAAATAGACATAAGGATTGAATTGAGATAAAATTCACAGTTGAAAGATTAAATTAAGACAATTAAAAATGCAAGAATCAAATTAAAAAAGAAGATAAAATTTAAGGACCAATCATGATATTTATCCAATCTTTTATTATATGTATATAACACATAACATTGCCATATAGTACCCTATAATCACTGAAAATTTTCTAGAAATATAGATTTTGGTCATGGAGTTTACATTTGTGGAAGATTCCGGGATTTGCATGTTTAAGGACTTATTCACTTTTCATTTAATAAAATTTATAATTTTTTTTAATTTTTGTATCACTTTGTCAATTTTCTAATTACTGCTTAGTGGGTATCATCTATCTAATATTACAAATTGGAAGTTAAATTCTCAAATTATAAAAATAAAACAATAGTCAAGATTAATTAAATTTTTATCTATTTAATGCAATAGTATAAAATTCATCCCCAAATTTTTTTTTCCTCAAAAACATTATTTCTCTTCACTACTCCCAATTTCAAACAATCTTATTAATCCAGGTCAGTCAAGGCACGAGCTATCTTAGTAGCTATCAAAGCAGCTCAACATCTATTGCAGCTTAGCTTATACTAGAAAGAGGACAGAAGAGGAATTATACTACCAAATTCTATCTTGAGCAAGAAGTCACCATCTTCAGAATGTCACGCCATAACTTCTAGAATGTCATGCCATGCCTAGAAATGAGAGCTTTTAACAGCTAAATATTTTCTCTAATATCCTAATAAACTAGGGAATCACACCATCATTATTTAAGGACTACACTACCTTAGGGTATAAATAGGTAGACCCTTGCCAAGGGGATATGCATTTGTATACTCAAGAGTGTAACTGTTTTCTTTCCCAAATTATACAAACTAGAGGAACAAGAGACTATCACTTTTTGAATATTATGCACAAAAGATAGATATATAGTTAGTCCCCCTTCAAAATATATGCTCAATTAATAGGGTCCGTGTGTGTATGTGTGTGCGTGTATGTATGGTTTTTGGATGTAAAATGATAATGGTTGGTGGTACAAAAAATAGCTGATGGTATAAACTTAATTCAAATCTTGGCATTTCAGCTGGGTTTTATCAAAAATCAAAAAATATATAATCTCAATGTTGCTATTGATCAATTACTTGCAAAACATTGAGATCTAGGGTTTATTTACATGACACCTTGGGGATGAGGTATTAAAGAAGATTATTACCATGTATGAACCATGGAAGCAAGAAATATGTGCCATTAGCTTCGCATACTTGTACTGTATTTGTTAATTGGCCCTTTATAATAATTATATACACTTCGCGCCACAATGTTTTTTCTCGTTCTAATTTGCACCATAAAAACTAGTCAAGTTTTGCTCTCGCTAAACAAGAATTATGGTTCCGTCCCTCTCCGTGGTAATAGCAATGATGGAGTGCCAAGATGAGTATCTATACAAGTTTAATTCGATAGACACCTAAATTCAATCTGTCGTATCCCATTTGATTAGGTCTAATTGATACTGTCAAACTTATACATAACTTTTATGAACGAATAACTTTCCTAATGATAATTTTCAACAGATTAAGCGGGTTGGTAGGTTACATGTTATTATTTCCAAGTTAGTTATAAGGATAAGAAAACATAAACAATTTTTTTTTCGAAACTTTACTTCACCTTTATATTTGGGAGTTTCTAATGATATTTATGCTACTAGTTATTCATCAATGTCTCATTTCTAGAATTCATTCCATTTATAGGCGTTTTCAACTTGCTTAATAAATAATATATCCTTTATTGATAGAGGATTCATTTGATTACAGTAGATTCGACTTAATTCATCCTAATAAATTATCTATTATTCGTAGATTTATAAATAATCTAGCTAGTGATGTAGTGGATTTAAATCCCATTAACCTAATTTTTTGAAGGAAAAAAAAAAACACTAAAGGTCTCTAGGACATAGATGCCACATCATTGAATTTACATTTTCACGATCATCATCGTTACTTTTCAAACAAGCGAATTCACCGTTATTTCTGTCCATAAAAATACTTGACTTAAAAATAATATTTTTTTTGTTACAGGGTGTTCAACCTTGCGTCGATTATTCTTTTGAGTTCAACAGTTGACTACTGTACCAAAGGGTAGGATGGTTTGAAAATTTGACATGCATGTCCTGACTTTTTAGTCTTTCTTTCATGCTGTCCTCAAATATGTCTGCTCTAGAATTTCCATGGAATTGCTGATGTTGAATTTCATGAGACTAGAAATCAAAATTGGGAGTCATGATCCAAGAACTGGTTTTGGCTGAAACTTTTCCAGTACCCTTTTTTACCCATAAACTGTTCGTTGTGTTCTTCCATTTTGGTTGCTTTTCACACTTGAGGACTTGACTACGGTCCTTCAAACTTTATTATTTTTGTGGGTATTTTTACAATAAAAAAATTTATTATTTTTTAGAGTAATTTACCACTTTTATAGATATTTTTACTACATTTGTAAGTATTTTTATCACTGCTGTGGTAACTATTTTTATCAATTTTTTTGAATTATAAGTGTTTTTACCATTGTGATAGTTTTTTATCACTTTTTTAATACTACAATAACAAAAATAACTATAAAAAAATAAGTATCAATACGATTTTATTTTTCCCTATACAACTCCCAGAGTTTATTCTGTGTCTTGCTCTCTCAAAAGTGTGCCCCCTCTTGCGGAGAAATTTTAGCATATCATTATCAACTTTACCCAAAAGATTAGCTGTCTCACACACACACGCAAGGGTCAATGGAATCATGATAAGCATGTCAATCATCGCTGCGCATGGTCTATGTTTCATGAAGAATACTAATGCAAATGTGGTCATTATTCCAAGGTGAAATTTAGGCAGCCTCCTCATTGGAAATCATGTACTGGACCTGCTGTGTTGCAGAGCCAAAAATATTTAGATTTATGTGCATCTTGAGTGTGGATTCTTCACACTTTAGGACCTCCAAATGAAATTTTAGTGCCCTGGGTTTAACTAGATGTGCACAATAGAAGAAGAAGAAGAAGAAGAAGAAGAAGAAGAATAATTATATGTCTTTATAATTCTTATTGCATGCATATTCTTAGCATTTAGATATGGTGTCGGATTAGCGCCCATGGGTGGACACAGTCTAAATAGATAATGATGGGTTAGTGTTTTGATTAATTTAAATTTGGTCAAGCTATGAGTTTGACTCCTAAAATTTCTCCACCTTATCCCAGTTCTTAAAATCTCTCAATCTTATCTCAAATGTGTGATATATCTCTCTATATATATAGAGGGACTCTACCAAAACATGAGATATATAAAATTATTATAATTGATGCTCTTCATTCTCTCTCTATAACGTTACTTGTGTGACACTCTAGAATGATAGAATCTAAATTATCGTAACCCGCATTAGACTCTAGAACACTGGAAATTCAGTTCTGACTTATTTAGCCTAACTTACCATGAGTCGAAGTGTTCGCATTCAAAGGTATTTCATGATTATCAAGGAGGTTCATAAGGAATAGTAAAATAATATCCAAATCCGTTGATTCGATGTGTTCGGTTCGTTACCGTATATGACTTATTTTATGTATTCACATTTTTGTATTCTTACATTGGTATTAGAGGCATAATATATTATTTTCAACTCTTAAAATGTATATTATGTGATTCATGGCATGAAAGGAATTATGCTGAAGAAATTATCGCTTCACACCTTTGAATTTTTTATAATTTAGTCATTTAAAAAAATTTGAATAGCAAGATAGTGAGATCCATGAGAACACCGGGAATTATTGTCCAATCATATTGCCTTTTTTTTTTTTTTTTCAATTCTCAATAAGGGTCAAATCAAGACAAAAATAGGTGTTTTTTCTTGCCCTTCTTTATATACTGCATCTTTTGTCTCCATCTGCAGGTTTTTCTCTTAACCTTCTTTGGGTGCTTAATCCTCTGTTCGTCCCTTATAGATTGATCATAATTAAGTGTTGTAATGATCTATCTCCATTTAGATTTAAAAATATTTTATAACACTAGTAATACACCATGTGCATTACATGTGAATAATTTTTTTTATATAAAATTAATAAAATATATTAGGTATATATGTAACTGAATTAAATATCATCTCAAATTTATCAAATTTTTTATTATTCATATTCTATTATAAGATTATGAAAATCTTGTATATTTTCAAAATTCTTTGTTCTAACTATATATATATAAAGAAATAGTTAATTTTTTTTTATAGAATTTTATGATTGAAATTAATTTTTTAATGATGTTTGAGAAATTAATTTTTTTTGAAATTCATTTGATTAGAATTCCACTTATAATTCCTTAAAAAAAATAAAAGTAATTGACAATATACTAATTACATTGAAACCTTACTGTAATTAGGA